TATTAGATAACAACAACAATGAAATGAAGTTCTTGTTAGGGTTTGGCTTTGCGTGTCTAATGTCTTTCCACAGTTAAATGATAGCATCACTATTTATCAGTAGATTTGATCCATGGATGCGCCGTGAAAACGAGAACAATGAGATCGGAAAGTATCTGCTACAATTTCTTTTCCAGCACTTGGAAGTAAGTGCCTTCTATAAGTTCTAAGGGTTTGCATGGTACCTGACGCTAAAAATACTTCAGAGCACTAGATCAGACATTGTGCTAAATCTTTCTGTCCTCATTTTCATCTTTGAAGTCACTTAAGAACATTATCTATTGAAAAATCTCAAACTTCAGACGACAAAAACCAACGTTTTTGTGCTACAGGTATAGTTACATCCCAAATTAAGCAAACAAATTCAGGACTATTCAGTTACATAAAATATCCAACTATTTAACAAAAGATATGTGCGGTGTACGCATTTCGGCAAATGTTGCCCTTTCCTTCTAGTATCAATATAGGAACAGTCAAGATGAAATTTCAAGTACTTCTGTTATTAAACATTATAGAGACTAAACTCCACAATAGAAATTCTCGATAATATACAATATGCTCCGGTGATAGGTAATAAATATATGACTTAGAAATGAATATATATTTCAAATCTACTCTCAGGTTTCGCTTGGCTCTGGCACACATATCCAATTTGCTATTTAACCTGACGTCACCATCAGCACTACGGACACTATGATACCTGGATCGGGCAAACCTATCTAGCTTTTGTCTGAAGAGCTTTACCCGACTTTCATATATCATTCGGATTGCCCACTGCTACGGAATAAAGTTCTGTATCGTTTTTTGTGAAATTTTATTGGCCCGTTGAGAAAAGCCGACTTTACTGACAGCGAAAAGAAAAATATCTCGTATGCCTCATTACTTCGAGCTTTGCGAATCTGTTCAGACGTAGAATATTTTAAGAAAGAGAAATTTCGGATGCGCACACGTCTACTTCTAAATGGATACCCAAGTAAATTTATAGACGCACATTTCGACCAACTGCAGAAAGACGTACGTACGAGAGGCCTACACATGACTTTTGAACCACAACCGAAATACAACGAATGCCGTAAAACAGTACGAAATCCGGCATGGAGCATAACAGAAAAACCAAAATAAAACATACATCTGAAACAAGAGCTAATGCATTTCACTTATGTACCTACAACCTCAAAGTTTGGCTCCAAATTTCATCAAATGTAGATTGAAGCTTTTGCGGAAACCCCGTTAGGGGATATACATCCAATTTTCGCCAACTGCTTATCTGAAAATCTAACCCAGATGCTGATTCGGATAAAACCATCTGAGAATATATTATGTGCACCTTTAGAACGAAGCAAATACGGAAATAATAAGTCTAAAGGTCTTTTACAAGGTAAAAATGAGCACAATAAGGTTGTATCTAGTATTTCATTCAAAAAGATTTTTTGCAATTAAAAAACGCTACTGTGTGCTCTTTCTACTCTCTCTTTTTAAGGATCACCTACTTACACACAAATTCCAAATTGCAATATATCCAACGAGGTAAAATGTTATTAATGAAGTATCGTGGATGCGAAGAAGAGAGCTAAAGATATTGACATGTATTAGACAGCAGTATGATTGGTAGGATATTAGAAAAGCTACTTGAAACTATTAATAAATTTTTGCTCTTTCTGTTATTAACTTTATTTTAACTTGAATACAGTTTCGACTTCAGCCAAGTCTTCATCAGACTAGAGGTGTCCGATCACGACAGTATTCCACGAGTCAAATACCCTTATGCGATATACTTCATCACTTCTGATCCTTCAGTTTATTTTCTGTGGCTCACGGTCACCACGTCGAAATCATCGAAATTTACTAATAGTTGCAGTTTTGTAGACAAACTAGTTTCACGACAAAAAAGTCAAAATTTGTAGAAGAGTTGAAAAAGTCGAATGTTTTAAGGGCTCTTTTTTCACATGGTTCCCAAATGCGGAGCACACGTCCAATTGAACTAACTCAATGTTAGATGAGATCGCAAGAGAAAAGGATAAATTAGATGGCATCGAATATCTCATCTAATTTTTCTTTTCGAACTTAGATGAAATAGGACCAGTTGGAGCGTTTTTAGCTCATTTTTCTGTGCAGTGTGTACTTAGCCATAGTCCTCCAGGAGGTATTTAGTCATTGGAAATGATTAAATTACTCGTTCAAATTTTCATAACTTCTTAAAACGAAGATCTGGAAAGAGAGGAGTAGTAAACAACAGGAAAAAGGACACACTGCAAAATCAAATAAAAACTTAAAATCAATGCAAGAATTACGTGTATTTATTTTCCCATTCCATGTTGATTAAATACAATTCTTTAAAAAAAAGATAATAAGCAAGAATAAGAGTTAATGAATGTAGGATATTCATTCATGATCATGACTTTCTTGAGAAGAAAGTGAACGACGGCGACTGAAAGGAAAACAAATCCAATGATTTCCTCCATAACGACAATAAGTATTCATCTTTGCATGATCTGGACAATGACAATGACCACCACGTTCTCCTCCTCGTTGACATTGACACTGACCCCATGGATAATGTGGAGTATCAGCCATCAAGCTCATTGCAACTGAAACAAGAGCCATCAGAACCAAGAAAATGCATAGGCACTTCATTTTGTTGATGAAATAAATTTAATGTCGATGGAGTATGTGATGCTGTAAGAGTTGGCTTGATAATGATATTTTATGTGTTGTATAAATACTAAATGCACTCTCTTGTCAAAAGAGTAGGTATAAGATGTTTTTTTGGTTATATGAGAAAGAAAACAGATGTTTTGTGTGTTAGGCAAGTACGATTTGAATATAATTTTTCAGATGGATGATTTTTACGTTAAAAAAAGATCGACGAATAGGATTACAACACGGCTCACATTTTTCTCCATTGTAAATTAACATGAAAATAGAAAAATGATGAAAATATATTTTCAAGGTCGGTGTTAAATACAGCAAACGAACCGCACTTATTTTTTTACTTCACTTATTCTACTTCTACGTCAGCGTTTAGAACAACTATGATACATACGCTTGAATGATTCTAATCGAAAAAACATGACTGTGTCGGCATCGGTGCCAGTGAGTATTTTGTCTCTCTGTTTATAGTATGAATAAATATTGAATAAAATTAATGTAGCAAAAATATTAATATTTCATGTTTTACTTATCGCTCCCTATACGTGTTTTATTGCCTTAGCAGAAATGGTGAAATGGCATAAGCGTCGGTGTCCATATAACATAAACATCGAATGACTAGGAAAGTGTAAGGCTTAATGATAATGATATATCGAAATTTTCCTTTCGAATTGGTTGGATGAAGTTGCTCAGGGGCAGTGTATCAAACATGGCGAATCAGCAAATGTGTATGAGTGACATCACGAGTATTCCTCTTTAATTAAGCAGCTTTGAACCTTTAAATGCATGAAAACAAGATTTCACCTTGTTCGCCTTCATGATATTCCTTTAGTTACTTCGAAAAAATTTCACGGATACTCGATGACCCGCGACGGGCGTCGAGACAAGCAAAGTCCTTCGCAATTTTTAGAGTCCACTGAAGTGCGCGTCGTTCATAATGTTTTCGAACCAGCATCGTACTAATGAAGTGAAGAGACTGTCACACGATGGCCCACATCTCATAAGAAGAAAGATGTTTTTCCAAGTTTTCCAGTTAAGGCTATAGTAAATAAAAGATGAACGTTACTTGTTATTACTGGAAATGAACCTCACGAGTAGAAGTCACTAAATTCAAACATTAATTAAGTGTCAGTTCTCGCTCTAAAACTCACATTCGCTCTAAAACTCACATTTTACTATAATATGCCAACCGCTAATCTGAAAATCTCATGCAGATGCTGATTCGGATAAAACCATCTGAGAATATATTATGTGCACCTTTAGAACGAAGCAAATACGGAAATAATAAGTCTAAAGGTCTTTTACAAGGTAAAAATGAGCACAATAAGGTTGTATCTAGTATTTCATTCAAAAAGATTTTTTGCAATTAAAAAACGCTACTGTGTGCTCTTTCTACTCTCTCTTTTTAAGGATCACCTACTTACACACAAATTCCAAATTGCAATATATCCAACGAGGTAAAATGTTATTAATGAAGTATCGTGGATGCGAAGAAGAGAGCTAAAGATATTGACATGTATTAGACAGCAGTATGATTGGTAGGATATTAGAAAAGCTACTTGAAACTATTAATAAATTTTTGCTCTTTCTGTTATTAACTTTATTTTAACTTGAATACAGTTTCGACTTCAGCCAAGTCTTCATCAGACTAGAGGTGTCCGATCACGACAGTATTCCACGAGTCAAATACCCTTATGCGATATACTTCATCACTTCTGATCCTTCAGTTTATTTTCTGTGGCTCACGGTCACCACGTCGAAATCATCGAAATTTACTAATAGTTGCAGTTTTGTAGACAAACTAGTTTCACGACAAAAAAGTCAAAATTTGTAGAAGAGTTGAAAAAGTCGAATGTTTTAAGGGCTCTTTTTTCACATGGTTCCCAAATGCGGAGCACACGTCCAATTGAACTAACTCAATGTTAGATGAGATCGCAAGAGAAAAGGATAAATTAGATGGCATCGAATATCTCATCTAATTTTTCTTTTCGAACTTAGATGAAATAGGACCAGTTGGAGCGTTTTTAGCTCATTTTTCTGTGCAGTGTGTACTTAGCCATAGTCCTCCAGGAGGTATTTAGTCATTGGAAATGATTAAATTACTCGTTCAAATTTTCATAACTTCTTAAAACGAAGATCTGGAAAGAGAGGAGTAGTAAACAACAGGAAAAAGGACACACTGCAAAATCAAATAAAAACTTAAAATCAATGCAAGAATTACGTGTATTTATTTTCCCATTCCATGTTGATTAAATACAATTCTTTAAAAAAAAGATAATAAGCAAGAATAAGAGTTAATGAATGTAGGATATTCATTCATGATCATGACTTTCTTGAGAAGAAAGTGAACGACGGCGACTGAAAGGAAAACAAATCCAATGATTTCCTCCATAACGACAATAAGTATTCATCTTTGCATGATCTGGACAATGACAATGACCACCACGTTCTCCTCCTCGTTGACATTGACACTGACCCCATGGATAATGTGGAGTATCAGCCATCAAGCTCATTGCAACTGAAACAAGAGCCATCAGAACCAAGAAAATGCATAGGCACTTCATTTTGTTGATGAAATAAATTTAATGTCGATGGAGTATGTGATGTTGTAAGAGTTGGCTTGATAATGAGATTTCATGTGTTGTATAAATACTAAATGCACTCTCTTGTCAAAGAGTAGGTATAAGATGTTTTTTTGGTTATATGAGAAAGAAAACAGATGTTTTTGTGTGTTAGACAAGTACGATTTGAATATAATTTCGGATAGATGATTTTTACATGAAAAAGAATCGAGGTCTCCGAAAAAACGAAGAGCACATGTTCGTGATCAGCTCAATACCTTCTATCGAATACTGTATAAAAAGATGGAAAATAAATTTCATGGAAAGTCTGCTTTCTGTGCAGACCTTGAAAAGTGAAATTTCGATTTCTGTGCTAAAACAAGTTTGAATTAGCTGAAATTTTGTGCAAAATGGTTGCAATGACATGTGTGACAGCGATAAAGTTTCAGTCCAAATGAGTATGGCGAAGATGTTGAATATTCAAAATTTTGACGACACTCATTGCGCCACTAACTTCAGTAGTCCTTATGATTTACAGCTAGAAGGTTGAAACATTTTGGGCATTGAGTCTCTGTTTTAAACTACATTTACCACAAGTTTCAAACTTTTAGATCGAAACAGTTCGAAGATATATCCGTTTACGAATATAGCGTGTAACAACGTAACACAAAGAGATGAATATGAAAAGAAAAATAAGACCATATTATTTACCTATCCTTTCGAGTACTGCAAAATGCTGAAACAGGTCTCTATCTCTCTTCGTTCTGGAGTATTCGAACAGTAGCCACGGACACTATATTTTGAAACGGATAGGAGGTTATCTTCATCCGATACTTTTGAGATCCCCATGAATTCATATGCAGTTTTTAGTGTTCAATCCGATGGTGGCTTTAGATTTCAGTAATCAGCTGTTACTTTTTTCCACAGCGAAAATTTTCTTAAAAAAATCAAAAACGTTCGGGATATATTTTATATCCCGATCAAAATACGCGATTTTTGATCGAATTTTTATGCAGTACCCGAAAAGATACCCATAGCCGACCCCCATGGAATTTAAATCAGTTTTGAATCCTCTTTCGAATGGCATTGTCCATTTTTTTATTTGGTTATTAAACGGAGGCCAAAAAATGATTGATTGGTCATATAGACCGATCGAGCTAAACAAATTATCCCGATCTTATGTAATGTACCTGTGGAGTAATAAGTCACAGTCACGCAAAAGACTCGAATACTGTCATCGGTACTTTCTTTTTTATCGTTGAAAAATGTCGTCCAAAGATGGACAAATTGCGAAATTAGGACATGTAGATACTGTTCGGTCAGATATACATGACGAAGGTCTATACGAAGGGAATAAAACTAATGAGTTCAAGAGCTAAATCTGTTCGAAATGCTGATAAAGGATTCGGTTAATCACAGATTTCAATAATTTCACTGAAAATGAACCGTGGTAGCCCGAAAAATTGAAGAAATAATGTTGGTAGAAAGAAGTCTTTATGCTTCGATAACTGTTGAATCCAAACATGACAAATGTCGGAGCGATTCCGAAACTAGATGCTTCCTGGGACGTGTAAGATGAGAACGCCGACAATGAATTGTAAAATAGAGGGTACCAGAGAGTTGATATCGCCGAAAATTGGATAGCATAATAGTTTAACTTACACGTAATTATGTAAAACGTGAATGACAAAAACGAAAAACATACACTTGGTACTAAGATCGAGCGTTTCCTCGAAGCAAATAAGTCGACATTCCAACACTAGATAAGCATCCGTTTGCAAGCAATGAAACTGTCTATCCACAAACCATAATGTGCCATGTAAATTTCCAGCAAAGAGATAACGTCACTGACGTTGACTGAAATGTTAAATTGTTTAATAATAAACACAAAATTTATCCCTTTTATAGCCAAAAAAAATAATCCATTGATGCAGATAATATTCAGATAAATATCTAAATTAGTTATTCGTATCCTGTGACACAAACACGTCTGAAGTGCTAATAAATTGTTGACAAATGAAATGAGAATGAAAAGTTGAGTGGAGAATAGATAAACGACTGCGATAGAGTTAGACAGGCAAACAGTCGTATCTTTTTTAATGAGTGATGACAAATGTCAATTACTTTCGTTTGACATACGAATAGAACAGAGCAGACATAGACCAGAAACATTTGAATACTGAGTGTGGTTATTCACTGATAGTGCAAGTAATAATATTTTGCTTCTTCACACTATAATAAATGCAGTGCATAAGCGACAATATAATAATAAATAATGTAAACTCTTTTCATGCAGGTGATAATCAATTTTTCTATTTTCGTGCATCATTGCGCTCCTCTTCCTTATTTTTGTTCTAAACATAGTATAATTGATTCAACAAAGAGGGCGCGCCCATTACATGTTGAGAACAGTCGCAAAGAAAAGTTGATTATCACATATACATACTAAACATACAATAGTAGATGGATGAATCATGTGAGAATAGAGAGAGTGTATAGAATAGAATGACGTCATAAAAGAAACAAAAATTTTCTCTTACATAGGATAATACAGATATGAAATGAATGTAATTATGAAAAACATGTAGGTGTATACACAGTTTGATACATTTGAGAAACACTAAGTCTAGTGCAAAAGGGCTTACATCTCGTATTCATTTTGATGATGCAGAAGTTACAACGGTAAAAGGAACTTTCGTCACAACGCACTTTCGTCATAGGGGGGGGGGGGGGGGGAATTTTCGGAAAGGTCCCGCAGAAGGGGTTTATACAAAAAAAGAAGGGGGGCGAAGTTTGCGGGGATTTGCGGCG